CTGGTTTTGTTATTTTCTTTGTCGTTCTAGTAATTTATTTATTTAAATTTGCACAGTTTTTCCTTTGTTTATTTTTCTTATATTTTTTTGTGATTTTCAGGAAAGAGTTTTAATTTATGAACTTCTTAATTTTTTTTTTATAAAAATTATATTTATATAAATATATATATAATTTTAGTTGCATGCCTATTCTGTACAAGTAATATATAATATATTAACTAAAAATACAAATAAAGGCATTAGCTATTGTTAATATCAATCTTAATATAAAAAAAAAAAAATTAGCTAATTAAATTTTAAAGAAATATATTTTTTAAAATTAAAGAAATTTTTATTAAGTAAAGGTTTTTTAGACCTTTAATTAAAGTTGTAAAGCTTATTTTTTTGATTCTAATAATAATTAAATCATTAAAATTAGCTTAGTATTTTGAGTTCACAAATTTTAAAAAATATATCTGTATTACAGTAACTATTTTTGTTAATAGTTGGATTAGTGTATCTGTAACCTTTAGTTGCACTATCTTGAATAAAAGCTCAAACATTTATACAAAATGTAACATTACATCTATATAGAGAAATATTAATAACTAATGTTATATAAGACTTTGGTGCAAACCTATAATAAGATCATCAGATGCAGAAAGTGAAAAAACCAAAGAGTTTTTTTTTTTTTTAAGAAAGGTTTTTCTTTTCGTTCTTTATTTCAGTAATATATAATTAAGTATAACTAGTACAAATTAATACATTAAACTAAGGGAGTAGAGGTTAGAGCTACTTTACCCTTAACCTATTCTTAGCTAAAATGGTTAAGAGACCTCTAGTTTATGGATTGAGCAGTAGAAGATGTTTGGTTTAAATATATAAATCTATTAAGCTATAAGGTATATTGTCTATCTATTAATGTTAGTAATGTATAATCTGAGTTAGTAATAGTAATAGTTGGTGCAGATATAATCTGTTATTGAATGTGTATTCTATTCAGTTTCTATATATATTTGTGTATCTTTTTTGTAATTTGATAATAAATATTTGGTAGTAAGTTCTTTTTTAGTGAACCTAGTTCAAGTAAGTTCATATGCGTGTATTTTTGGAATTGGGCCTTTTTTTAGAACCCTATATTTTTAAAAAATTATGGATTTGTATAATTAAGTCTTTTTTTTAGACCCTAAATTTTAAATAAATTTTTAAAAAACCAAATTTTATAAAACTCAAATTAATATATATAAACATGTCAAACTAATTGTCTGTCTTTAAAACCAATTGTTCTTTTTAAGATTATTATTTAGATAAGAATAAAGCATTACAAATATTATATAATATTATAAACTAACTTTTTAACTTTTAAATTTAATTACAGATTTAACAATGGTTACTAATATTAACATGCGTCATTAATTATATATTTTTTCTAACCCAAACTCTAACTCAAAACAAGGATTTGAATGTGAAATTTGTAGAACAATCTATAAAACTAAAAGAGGTCTTAATTGTCACCAAAAGATCATCCAAAAATATAATATTTGTCATGAAGGATTATATACATTACCATTAGAAGCAGTCAATTAATTTAAGGCAGATCTTGTTTACATTATCAGGAGCAAACTTAAGGAGCATTTTACATGGTTAGGCAAACAAACTATTTCATTTTCATGTCTAGAAAGTTTATTTTTTAGAGTCTTTGAAGGATACATTCACTACTTTAGTTGTAAAAATGGTAGCTACAAGTGTTTTTTTCACAGACCAAATTCATATATGCAATTAGCTAATCTGTTTAACAATCAGAATTGGGAACGCAAGTTTTTTAACAACAATCAACAAACATTTATTTTGTTATTTAATGCACAAGATAAAAAAAAAACTAGCCATAAAAAAAAATCCAAACTGCCGAAACTAACGATCAAGTGGAAAACAAAAGTCAAAAAAGATGCAAACAATAATCAAACATCTGCTGGTTATATACATTTAAGTTTTTATACACAACAAATTTAAGTGTAAAATTTGGTTAGTAAAATTAAACAGTACAAGTGGCTTTTTGTGAAGGGCAATAAAAATAACAAAGTCGAAGCTGATAAGAGATCCCAATTATTATATGAATTTATCTGGTGGATATTTGATTGCTTTGTTATTCCATAGCTTCAAGTAAGAGAATTCAAATTCTTAGTACTTCTCAGATTCAAATTTTTGGTCATTAAATTTATTTTATGATATTCATATTACTCAGGCAGATTTCTATATAACCACCAATGCAAAATACAAGAACTGTGTGTTTTACTATTGTAAAAATATCTGGTTATAAATTGAAAAATACAATATGGAATCTTTGTCAGTAAAATTTATTGACCTGTTAATTTTCCTTTCTAATTCTATTTAAAGTTAATAATTTAAGTTTTTATCTTTTAAATCGATTCAATTAATGTTAATTTATTTTTTTTTAATATATTAAAATTAGAACATGAAAAGATGCAAATTTATATTAATAATAGTACAATATTTGCTTGTTATATAGAAGCATTCAGTCCATCTTCGAAAGCTGAGAAGTTTTAATTTTATAACTTTATTTTATTGTCTGTTTTAAATTATTAAGATTTACTTATCATTATACTAAGACCACACAAATTTATATAATCAGTTTTCATATCACCCACAAGCCTTTCGTGATACAGCAACCCAGATTTATTTTTTTAAAAAAAATTTTTTAATGAAAAAATTTATTATAATCTCTTGATTCGTATTTATTTTCTATATTATAACCTCGGTTAAATCCGGATTTAATATATAAAAAATCTAAACTCTGCAAGAGAGTTTTAATTAGCATTAGCTCATAAGCTTGATATGAATTTGCGAATTCAACAGTACCAGTACCAGGAACAGAGTGATGAAATCACGAAGTATATAGTTTACATGAGAAATAAATAGTGTGCATCTACAAAATCTTAGATCTGGTTGGTCAGTATGATCATAACTGTTACACATTGCCTATTTTTCACATAATAAAGTATTGCATATATTTAGTTATTGCATAGCTATAATTTCAAATTTTTTAAATGGTTTTATTATTGTGATAAGAGTGATTCTGTAATCAACATATAGTATATCTATAGTTGTTAAAAGAAACCTATAATAACAAAAAATGAACTTGCTTTTAACTTTTGCCTGAAAATTTCTAAAAATTAGACAATAGACAAACTGATGAAAAGTGGCATAACTGATGAAACTTACAAAGGCAACAAAACTGATTAAAGATAGCGAAAATAACGAAAGGTGGCATAACTGATGAAAACTGATGAAATTGACAAAAGGTAGTGAAACTGATGAGCAATAGCAAAGAAGACATACCTGACAAAAGAAATATATCTGATGAAAAGTATTTAATTGAAGGTGGTAAACCTAACAAAAAGTTGTTTAACTGATGAAATACACAATATTTAATTGTATCTCTGTTTCTGGTTTCAGCATGATGACATCGCACAGCTACCTAATAATACTAACCCAAGATTATCTGCTGTACAATAAATGCTTAACAAATCAACTAGTTCCTTCGAAATGGATCTTTGGATGAGAATCGGACCTTAATTCCTTTGTATTTAAAAAATTTATAATGTTAGTAGCTTTTTTAATAGTTCATATCTTTTCTAATAAATAGTTTTTATAATTATTCACTAAATGAAATAATTGTATGATTATTTAATGATAAACTCTTATGAGCATAACTTACAGCTTAATAGTATGCTTACTTTCTAAAGAATACCAATTTCGTAATTATAATAAATGACTATATTATAAATTCCTCTAGAATTACCTGCCTCGGCTGATTTCTAATTATGTATAAATGCCTTTTGCTTGGTCAAATAATACATTCTATTAGAAAATGAATGTCTTATTTCTATCTTTTCAAAAATTCGACATGTCGAATGATACTCTTCAATTGCACACTGATAAAAGATATTTGAATGGTAGGTCAATTGGCAGTTGAATAGTCCGTTTGATATGTCAAATTTTGACTTTGACCAGTGCATAACAATAACTGAGCAAGAATATCTTCTGAATTATTCACATGCAAAATTTAGTTAACTTGGTGGTTTTATACTTCCAACTATATGTTTTTTAAATGTAACTTTGCTAAGAAGTAGCAACACAAGGATGTGGAATTAACAGGGATTAAATAAATATGTTATAGTGTGGTTTGAATACTTCAAGTTTGCTTAGAAGACTCATCCACCTTTCATAGCAAGATAAGTTATATGAACTTCCTAAAAAAGTATTGTAATAAAACAATATAAAAAAAATGATGGGACATTCATCTCTGCTACTATACTATTGCATTGGTCACATAATTAAGAGTAAAAGATTTCTATTGGTTAGCATATTAACAAAACCAATCTTCACTTTGCTAACATGGCCAGGATATGAAAACCAATTAAGTAGTGAATTTTTTAAAGATTATTCGGTTAGATTATTCAAGCTCTAATTTATTTATAATAATTTGATAAGATTTATACTACTGTATAATATTGGGAATCAAATAAAATAGGTTTTGGTGGCAGGAGAATTAAATGAAGTTACATTTTAATATGAAAATGTTGAGGTTTAGAAACAAAATTAGAAGTAGAATTTTGGGTAAAATATAATGCCCGATTTTCATAATTAAGAATTTCAAAAATTGCTGATTTTCTGTTCATGTCTTTGCCACCATCTTTCATTGTTTTTCTAAAAAATGTTGAAACTTGATCGTAGTTTTTTTTTTCTATCGCCGTGCAAGAAAATGCTGCCAGTCCAAAATGCTGATGATACTTCATAAATTCAGAGATATGATGAATTAAAACATGTATATATGGAGTAACATCTTTTGGATGATAGAGTCCTTTTTTAAAATATATTGTGTTTGGTTCACCTTGATAAGGTGTAAGAAATAAGTCAAACCATTTTTTTGCCTGAACCATGAAAAAAGTAGGATTGGTTTCTCGATCTTTCATAAGCTTATAAAGTGTATAAAAATCTCTTCACAAATGATTAATTAATATAGCTCGTTCTTTATCAAAAATGACCTCAAAATTAAAATCACATAATACCTTTTCTTTATCATCTTCTATCAAAGATGTATAATGCCAACTTTGCACATAATCTTGCCAAAAATAGAAACCAACTGAAATCCTTTGCATTTCCACATTGATAATTGCCCTAACATGATTATTGAATCTATTTTCTGATTTTAATTCTTGAATTACTAATTTCCAAAGGCAATCCCAGATTCTCAACATTATATGTAGTTCATCAGATACATAATGATTCAGAGAAATCATAGGAAGAAGAGGAACTTTAAGATGTCCAGGTGGTGGTAGATTTAAAGTTTGTGAAGTACGATTGTTAAAAAATTCTGACTTAAGTTAATTCATATTTTTTTCGATCTTATACATCTTATCTTTGTTGCCAAATTTTTTTTTGTACATAAGCACCAAGGACAAAAATAGGTAGCATTTGGTGCATTAAATCCTAACATTATAGCCATAAATTTCCAATTACTACTAAAATATAGTTCAATTTTCTATTTTATTCCGTTGGAATCTAATCTATTGGTTATCAAATTATATAATTCACTGATCATCAGTTCTATTACTTTTTGTAACATTTTATAGTTTTCTCCTTCCAGATATAGAATTATTGTATGGTGTGAATCAGCTTTATGAATATTTGAAATGTCATCCAAAATTGTACAGGTGATCATTACATGTTTGATTTTTCTACCTACATTGCGTCCATCACCTGATATGTGAATATTGATTACTGGATTATTTACATTAAGAACATTTCGAGCCACAAGGCCTGGAATTATGAAGAGCAAAATGTCATTAACTCGTCTATAGCCTGCTTTGCCTATATATTGTGAAATCTCTTCTTCAATGTCCTAATCACTTATATGAAGTATTTTGTTAGTTGTTGTAAGAGATATATCCTTAATATTTAAAATACTAATAGGAATTTTTTTATTCATTTCTTCATTTATTTTTTTTTGTATTTGAGATATTGTAATCTTGTGGTAACTCTGGTTGGAGTGCAGCTAAGTTTCAGTAGGCATTTCGAGAAATTGAACCTTGGTCGATAACTTTTAAAAATGCATCTAAAGATTGATTTTCTTTTTCTTAATCTTTGTTCTGATAATAAGCTAAATAATTTTTATTTTAAACATGGAACCAGACTTTTTGTAAAACTGGTCGATCAAATGAGTTGTAAAATTTAGGAATTTTATTTTCAAATGCTTCACTGATTTGTATAGAAAATCTACGAGAACGTTTTGTCTTCATAGATTCACTTAATGTGTTAAATGGTTTAAAAGAATTGGATCAGTTATTTTTTCTTTCACATTTTTGCTCTACATCTGTGGCATTAAGACCAAATATATGTATGCCAGAAAGTTTTGCATTTGTATTAGGATTTTTTTTCTATATTAATAAAAATTAAAACATATTTTTATATTGATAAAAATTATACAAAATATTCATTTAAAAAAAAATATATATTGACTTGTAAATAATTATTGGCAACAGCAGTTAAAAACTCTTTTGATTCTATTACATAGTGTTGAGAATTTTCATTAAACCTAATTCTAAAAACTGGCCCATCCAAATCGTATTCGATTTCACATTCTATTATATGCTGTGATTTTTCTCTGCCCCAGCTAGTTTGAACTAAATAATTATCTGGAATTTTGTATTTAGTTTCACTATGAGAATGTGCCAAAGTATAGTATATTTTACTATTTGATGGATAAAATCCTTCATTAATAATGTGGTAATTATAATTAGTGTTGCTTTGTTTAAGTGTAAAAGGATTATTCTTAGAATATTTATTTTGGTTAAGAGACATCATGATTATTTTAAGCTTATCATTAACACATAAATTTCAAATTAAAATAGATTTTAATTCAATTACGGTAAAATTTTAGGGTGCCTTTTTTTAGACTTTTTTTAAGGTTTTGGTTAAGTATTTGAGTTAGTGTTAGGAAAGTGTTAGTATTAGAAGAGTGTTAGTATTAAAAAAGTGTCAGTGGTTTTAGATGCCTCATTATAGTGGGTTTGTAGAATTGAGCCTTTATTTAAATTCTCATATTTAACTATAATATTGCAGAGAAATGTTTTGCTTTTTTTTTTTTAGCTCAATCAGATTTTTAGATATTAAATTTAGGGGATATAGCAAATCCGAAAGAAGCCTTATTTTTTAAGTTAAGGGGTCTTAGATATTACATAATATCCTTAAGGATAATAAAATTACATTACATAATATCTCAATATTTGTAGATAATTAATCAACTACAAAATTGTAGAAATCATTTTTTTATTTATCATTATTATTTTTTTGTGTTAAGTGCAGACAAGATAAAATGTAAGTAAATTATTTATTTGACTAAGCTATAGTTAAAGGTTCTTGACTGCATTTGTGCTACATTTAAGTGACATGCCATCCTCTTTTTTCTATAAAATAGGTTAACCTCATAAGTCATTATTGATAAAGAATGAACTATATTAATTAATTAATCGTTATAGAGAGATTTTTACACACTTTACGAGCTTATGAAAGATCGAGAAACTGATCTTACTTTTTTCATAGTTTAGACAAAAAAATGATTTCTTATTTCTTACACCTTATCAAGGTGAACCAAACACAATATATTTTAAATAAATTTATATCATTTAAAGGATGTTAATCCATATAAGTAGCAACCATATTCTCTTCTATGTAAAATTTAACATCTTTATTTTAAATTATGTTAAGGTGATAAACTACTAAATTCAACATCGGTGGTAAAAAAAAGTAGCGATAATATAGCGAAATGCTGTAAGTATGATATATTGAAATATTATGGCTTTTGAAGTAGAAAGATTAAACTAAAATCTTTTGCAGCATATAGGACCAAAGATTTTAGTATATTTTTTTATCTGAACGAATTTTCACTAAAAAATTGTCAACAAGTAAGTTTCATTAACGTTCATTAACCAATGTACCATAATGCACTGCCTTTAATTCTCTCTATAATGCACTTCGAGAAAAAAATCATAGGGATTATGTAGATATACTGTTTTTTGATAAGACCTGGATAGAGGTGGAACTGAACGACCGGATAATACAAATTTTAATAATTATCCAAATAAAATTTAAGTTGTGGATAATTGAATCATATTATCTCATACAATTTATGATCATGCTTTCAGGTTGTCATTGACAGTTTTAATTTAATTTATCATTTTTATATTATATCTCAAAAAAAAAAAAGGTAGGATATGAATATTAGGTTCAATAATAATTTGTTTATCTGATTATCTGTCAGATTTAGTCACAGTGAATAAAACAGATACAGATAAAATCCATTTATATGAATAGATAGACGAATCTCACCTCTAGGCCCGTATTAAGACAGTATATTATGATATAATGATTGCATCAGGATTCCTTATCCATGTAATAAGTTATATGGAATCTTTACTAGATTTAAATTATATGATCCATCATCTAAGATCTGGATTTTTTTTAGTGAAGATTTCATATATGTATAATATTTTGTTATTCACAACCTTTTATCAAAATGCATACTCATTTTTTTGGATTCAAAGGCATTAACTTAACATGTTACTTTACAAAAGTAGATTTACCAGTTCAGTATTACTACACATTTAATTAGCATGTATATTTATTCGATTTGTGTTTGCATTCTCTTAATAGAAATGAAGAGTAATCTGGATCAATAGGTCTCCTTCGACTTGGAGCAGTAATAATTTTATTAGACAAATGAAAAAAATGTCAAATGGTATGGTATTATTATTTTTACTATTTATTCATTATTGTGTTTCTAAAAATATTAATTTATTTTTTCGTTATCTCACTAACTGATCTAGTCGAGTTTAAAAAAGACGAGCACAAACTATTTATTTATTACCAAAAATCTGCTAATATGAAAAATTCTAATAGAATGTTTTAAGCTGATGTTTATTATAAAGATAAATATAAGGCTGAAAAGAATGAAAATAAAACATTTATTCGTTTTCAAAAATCTGCTGAAATGGGTTATATTCTTAGAGTGAATATAGCTGATCGCTGTTATGAAAATAGACCCAAAGTTAAAAAAGATGAATATGAAGCATTTACTTATTTTCAAATATTTGTCAAAAGGCAACAATTTCATTCGTCTTGCCTTCTTCTAAGATGTGATATTCGAGGATACTTGACTTATATACTTGGATTAAATACCACTGCTTCAGATTAACATATCGTCAAACTGTTTCTATGTCATGGTTATTTTCGTAAGTATTTGTAATTAGTAGTACATTCTCTAACTTTTTTATTCATTATACAAAATTAATTTGTCGATTTTTATTACTCGAACAGGTCAAATTTGAAACTTTAAAAGATCTTTTTTTATATTATTTAATGGCCAGATGGATTTTTTTGAAAATTTTGAAGTTTAAATTTTCATGTTATAAAAACCAATAAACTAATTTTATATGGCCTTATCAAATTATTGGAATTTTTTAATTGTTAAGGTTCATTTATTATATAGGCATATCATTTAGATCAATTACTAACAATATATTAACATGTATACCAAAATGATAAATATTTGTCCGAATAAGCTTGAAAATTATATTAAATTTTTATGCTTTATAAATTATATACATTTCACTTTGTATAAATATACAAAATACATTTAATGATATATAATTAAGGTTCAAATGGCTGTTACATCTACATTATTCGAGTATCCAATATTTACTTTTCTAAATATAATATGTAATAAAGTGATTGATTTAAATCGTTAATTTTTTACCATCCCTATAAATCATATAGTTCTGATAATTAGTTTATTACTGTATATGGACCAAAAAAACTAACACTAATAGTGTCACAGCTAACTAGAGAACAACGCATGTTTTAGTACAAATGTAACTTTAGGTAATCACTACCTTTATACCTTTAAACAGGCAAATTTACATAAAAACTGAGTATAGCATTCCAATAATGGTGTGAGTTTTAAATGTTCAGTATATACAATCAGACTTTTCTAAATGTACCTCTCTTAATATAATAGTGTGGAGTACTGGGAAAATACAGTACATGAAATAGAAACTATTAAAGGTCTGAAAGATTATTGGTCTATTGCTATATTGAAAAAAATATTAATTATGAAGGTCGACTAAAGCAGAGTTAATTCAATATATGATCTACATACTGCATAAATTATATTCTTGATATTCTATATAACCCACTAACACTAACTGCATTAAAAAGGTAACTATAAAACTCACTCTGCTTTAGCCGACCACTAATTACAGACATTTGCATCAACTAGCTAATGCTTCTTGCATGTTTTACAATTTAAATTTTAGAGTACATCAAAATAATATACTAATTCCAAAAATGCGCATATATGTATTTGTTATAATTCCAATTAAGATTTGTTAATCTATATGAATGTTTTGTATTTCTTGAGCTAGATTTGTTGATATTGTTGTTTTAATTTTATTATCTTTGCAGACTTTTGTTATTGCTTCTTTTATTATTTTGTTCAATTCTATTTGGTTGTATAGGCAGGTAAGCATATGAACTGTGTCTTCTAATATGTTTGGGCACTTTGCACAGTATGGGTTGGTATAAGTTTTTGGATTTCTTTTATAAAGGTTTAGATGTATTAGTAGTTCTGAAGTTAGAATTTTGATTTTGAATGTTTTAAAGTAAATTTTGTAGAATTAGTATTTTGACTGAGAGGTTTGTTTTTGAAATTGAGATATTCAAATGTAAGTTTCCAATTGATGTTTAGAAGATTGTTAGAAATATGTTTGATGCACTTCTGATTATTCTATATGATGATTGCTTCTGCTTGTTGTAAAGTTTTAGATATTTGGTGAATAGCGTAAGTAGTTGGTGTATTTATTATGAAAGGGGTAAAGGTAGTGTTTAGTACTGTGTTAGGTAGCAGGTCCATATAGAATTAACAGGATGCATTTTTTATACTGATTTTTTTTTCTGTTATGTTGATTTTAATCTTCAAATTTTTTGCATTGATTATGATATTAAGAAGAATAGTGATATTGTTGAAAGAAGTTTTTCTTAGTTTATGTTTCTGTTCTAATAACATTATAAGCATTGTTGAAATTTTGTTAGAAATATTGCTTTTATCAGGTAATATTTGAATTTTTGTTTCTTCTGTTATTACTATAAGGATTATTAAAAGCATTATAAACATTGCATAATCTAAGAAAGGAAAGGTTTGGTTAATGCAATACCATGTATGGTTATTATGCTAAAATGATAATTGAGCATAAGGAGTATTGTATCTATTTGTTTTCTTGAAAGTAGTTGTAAGTTTGAGATTTAGTTCTTTTGGAAATGAACTTGTTGTATATAATTTCCATATTTCTTTTTGGTTGTTTGCAAAGGTCTGTAGGAGTCGATAGTTGGTTCAATATTTTGAAATTGAAAGTAAATATTTGTGATTTTGTTTAGATTGTATAGTTGTTTGATGAGAGTATAAGCAATTAAGATTTGCATGAATTCGTTTGTAACAATCAACTTGAATTTTAAAGATTTGGTATATGGGATTAATAAAGTAACAATGAGTTGTTTTAAATTTTAGAGTTTTGATTTAACATCTAAAACATAGTATTAGTTAGTGATCATTTAATAGATGAGTATTGTAGTGTTTGATTTTGGCTTGATTATTGATGATACTTGTTAATTTTCCAAATTGTTGTAATTTTGTAATTATTTATTGTGAAGTTGTAGTGCTGATTTTTATGAAGGTGTATGGGTTGAAATAGTTTAGTGTTGTAGATAGGTTTGTTAGTAAAGTTATATAGTCTGTGATTGCTTTGAAC